GACTCCATGGCAGTGAGTTTGATTGTTGGTTTTTATACATTGCTGATAGGAACATAGTATGATGCAGCCACATTGGAAAACAGTCTGGCATTTCCTTGAAAGGCTGATCACAGAATTACCATATGACTCAACTATTCCATTCCTAGGTATTCACTCAAGAAAAGTAAAATCATATGCCCACACAAAAACATGTACAAAAATGCTCAAAGCAACATTATTTTTAATAGCCAAAAATTAGAAACAACCCAAATGTCCGTTAACTGATGGACAGATAAAGAAAATGTGGTATATAGCCATACAACAGAGTATGAACTGGCAATACCATAAGAACAAACTACTGTTCCTGCTACAACACATATGAACCTTTACCACATTATGCTAGGGGAATGAAGCTAGACCACAATAGACTATAGATTATATGACACAATTTATATGAAATGTCCAGAACAGATAAATCTACAGTTGATTAGTAGTTCCTTGGCTGCTAACCAGAAGGTCAATGGTTCAAATCCGCCAGTCGCTCTAAAGAAGAAAGAAGAAGCAGTCTGCTTCTATAAAGATTCATAGCCTTGGAAACTCAAAATGGAGGTCACTATGAAACAGAATTAACTTGAAGGCAGTAAATTTGGCTTTTTGAGTTTTAAGGGCTGGAAGGGAGGAGACATGGGACGCTAACTGCTAATGCACAAAGGTTTCTTTTTGAGTTAACAGAAATGTTCGAAATTAGACTATGGGGATGGCTGCACAATTCTGTAAATAGACACTGAAACGCTATAAATAGAAAACACTGAAACTTGAAAAATAAAAAATTAAACTGACCTGAAAAAGGGATCCTTTCTTAGTGACCTGCCTCCATATTTTTTCTCGTAATACTGCAAGAGGAAAATCCACAGTACAGACTGCAAGTACGGCTAAAACAAGAACAGAACAGCTCATGATTGAAGTGTTTGTTTCCCTATGTCAATAGAGCCAAGACTAGATATATCTGGTTCCTCACCATCATCAAAAAAATTCATCACAATTTTTAAACACAACCTAAGGTAAAATTATTTTTAGTAAAATAATCCTTCACATATTTTTCCACCTCTGTAACATTTATAACAAATGAAGCTGACACTTGTTGTCAGCTTCATGAAATATAATCAAAAACAAAAAGCTTTGTTTTTTTCCCTAAGGAAGGCAGAACTGTAACTAAAAGGAATTAATAACGTGAAAAAGCCACACATCTTAAAGTGAACATATTCAGTAAATGAAAGGTATTACCATTAGCTAGCATTCACTAACACACTTGACTTTTCACGCACCTTAGTTTTCATGAAACAGAATAAAAACAAAAAAGACAGCATTAAAACCATATAATCAAACTATTCCTAAGGTAACATTCTAACACACACACACAAACATCTTTTTTATTTCTTACCGATACAACAGCCACCAAAAGTCTATCCCATGCATCATAGGTGCCCTCAGTTTTTTGCTTATTCTTCCAAGAAATCTAAGACAAAAATTTTTGAAAATTTATATACTGTAATATATAGAAAGAATGGGGTTAAAATGGAAAGAAACACATTTTGTTTAGCAAGCATGTATTTTCTATAAAAAATATTAGCTATGAAGATAAAAAGTTATGTTCTGTACTTAGATTAAAATCTTCCCCACTCCAAAACATTCTACCAGGGCAGATATAAATTAAACAGATTAAACTGAAGCAAAAGGAAAAATGGCAGAAAGGTTAGTGAGTGGAATTCATCAGCAATCCTAATTTAAGAACTCACCACTTGTTGTTTTTCTAATCACACGGAAAATTTTTTTAATTATCTAGGCTGAACAAAACTAATCTGTTTTTTGTTATTTTTTTCCCTCAGAAACGATCTCTCACACTTAATTTTCTCTCATCCCTTCATAATACACTGTATTATTTAATCCCTGAAAAATTCCACCAAAATAAATACTGATTGACTGATTATCATTAGGTATATAACTCTGGGCATCAAAGGACATGTGAAAGACACAATCCTTCTCCTTTCAGAACTTACAGTTTAAAGACATGCTTGAAATGATTCCAAAGTAATTTTAAACTGTGGCCATAAGACCTAAATCAAGTAGTAGCACCTTATCTGATTTTTTTTTTTTTTTTTTTTAACTATTTTCAGTACAAGAAGAATCTTGGAGATTAGGCAGCATTTATCTATGCTTTTAACATATTTACTTAACAGACTTACCTTTATGAAACAAATCAGGCAACCGAGAAGTGGATAGATTGGAATGAGTATGCAAAAAATATAATGAAGAACAGTTGAAGCTGTGTATCCCAAAAAGAAAGTGATCTCGGTGACTGCAATGCAAAGCAAGGCTGTCTAAAGGGAAAACAAAAGAGAGAGAAAGTCTTTAGAAATTTCATCAAACTTACAAATGTGTGCCCCAGTATTTAATTATTTTTTCAACCCTCTAACATAAACATGGAATCAAAAGTGGTACTTAGCCAGGAAGTAACTATATGCTGATACCAGCTGTTTGTAGTTAGCATCCTTGCAAAGAGCCCCGGTGGTGCAAAGGTTAAGCATGCCTAAAGATCAGTAGTAGGGATCCACTAGTGGCTCCGTGGGAGAAAAGACCTGGTAATCTATTCTGGTAAAGATCGTTGTGGCTGTGTGCCATCAATTCAAATCTGACTCACAGGGAGAGTGGGCCCACAGGGTTCTATGATGATTGTTGTTGTGTTTGCCATCAAGTCGGACCCGACTCATAGTGACCCCAGGCAGTATCACTATAGAAGTAGATTGTCCAACCTTCCTTCTGAGGAGTGGGTGGGTTTGAACCGCCAGCCTTCTGGTTAGCAGTCAAGTGCCTTAGGCACTATGCCACCAATCTCTATGGGGCACTTCCATTCTGTCATATAGGGGCACTGACTCAAAGGCACACGGTAACAGCATCTTTGCCATGCAAACTGTTAAACATTTCATATCATCTCTTCATAGAAGGGATGATAAAGAAGACAAACATACAAACAATACTGCCAGCTGTCTATCTAAATTTTGCATTTATAAAACACGTAACATTTTGAGTTGAATCATAAAAGAGTTAATGACTTTCAATTAAACTGCTATGCAAAGCCGAAATAATATAGAATGTGACTTACCACAGAATAGATAAATGACCAAAATTCTTTAGTATTTAGAACTTTTTTAAAGGTGAAAGAAGCAATATAGGTAAACAGAATAACTGATGGAACATAGGCAACAAGGCAAAAAATCTGTAAAACAAAAATGTATATGCTTCATGTAAAAATGTGACTAGAATACATACAAAATACCACTGTTACATTAAAATAAAAAGGAGTAAGTATTCTTTAAACTTTATTACTCAACTCATTCCCAAAACTAAAATTGTGGTTTAATAGAGGACTCAGTTCTGTATCTCTTAAATCAATAAAAATCATGCTTATAACTTACTGTTAATACAAATTTGAATATGTCCTTTAAATTGAACACTATTTGTAGCTCTCTTCTTTTACATCAAGTAAAATGCTAACTCTTACATTATTATAGGAGTTCTGGTGGCATATGACTACTAACCAGAAGGTTGGTGGTTCAAACCCACTAGCCACTCCTTGGAAAGAAGACTGGGCAATCCATAGTGATACTGCCTCAGACACCCAAGGAGGGGTTGCTGTGAGTCAGATCCGACTCGATGGCAGTGAATTTTTAAGTGAGTACAATATTATAGAAGGCAAGCATAGCTGGTAACAACCTTCTCTCTCTTCATCAACTATTAGTTACCATTTTAATATATGTCACTTAATATTTTAATAAAGTTTTAAGAAAAACATTTAGTAATTATTGAGGTCATCATGATCTCTGTAACCCCAACCCCACCTAGCTCTGTTTTGTCCTAACAAAAATTATTCATAGGAAAGAATCTATTATCAGCCATTTATATGTGCACATGAATGCAAATCAGACTCTATATTTCAAGGCATATTTTAAATTATGGAATAAAAGATTTTCTTCTTTTGTTAAATTATTTTCAGGCATAAGCACAGACAGGGAAAACATTTTAAGGTAGGACTATGTAAGTATTCCTGATGATATACAAGGAGGTGATCTACATGAAAGACCACCTCAGTTTCAAGGCATTACTTTGTAAAGGCAGTAAGTTATTGTCTTTAAAGATCACTTATAATAATAAAAGTTGCACTGATTATAGGAACCATATACAATAATTAATTAGACTAAACACTTCCTCCATTTTCTTTAAAAATTAATATCTAAATTACTTAACCAGCTGTTATATTTATAAACATAGTTTTTAAGAAATATCATTTTATTTACTAATGGCATGAGTACACTGATGTTAACTTACCACAGAAAGGAATTTTACAGCATAAAAATATAGTCCATAATGAAATGCAAATAAGCTTCCCAGCATCAAAAGAAGAACAATCAAAAATAAGGGGATATCAATGATGGCTTGCCCAATCCAATATGCAGACGGAAAAAGACCTGAAAGTTTAAGCTGAGTATAAGCTTTGATCTAAAAAAGAAGGAAAAAAAAAAAAAACCACAATTTTAAACATTTATAAAAAAACAAAAAACCTCTAGAAAACTGCATGAGTCAATTTTACATCAATTAAACAAAAACATAAACAACAACAAACAAAAAGGTCACTTTCTGCATCTACAGGTAATAAAACTTCTTGTCATGTTGTTGTTGTTGTTAAGTGCCGTCAAGTTGGACCCAACTCATAGTGACCCCGCCTTGGGTTTCCGAAGCAGTATCACTATGGAAGTAGATTGCCCCATCTTCCTTCCGAGAAGTGGCTGGTGGATTTGAGCCACCTGCCTTCTGGTTTATAAATTCCATTTAGCCTTTGATATAGCTTATTGTTTCTGAGACGGAACAATTTTGACAAAATTTTTAAGGATGCAAATAAAGCAGTGCTGCTAAGAAACAAGGAACCAAAGTAAAGTGAAAGGTGCCATGGGTGTTTTGGTTGTGCAAATCCATTATCAGAGTAATCTAGGACCACTGGTGGTATAGTGGTTAAACCATTTGGCTGTTAACTAAAAGGTTGGCGGTTTGAACCCACCAGCCTGCTCTGAAGGAGAAAGATGACAGAGACTGCTTCTGTAAAGCTGTACAGCCTTGGAAACCCCATGGGGCAGATCTACTATCTCCTCAATGGCAGTGAGTTTGGTTTGGTATGAGAGTACACAAAACACTACTGCTTTTGAAAATTTGTTGACATAGATGAAAAGATATGTTTTAAACAAGAAAAGGATTCTAACTTTTTAAAATTAACCTTTCAAGAAAACATTAATAAGCTGCCAAGTACTCACTGGATTTACACTGGGCTTTTAGCCTAAGTGTGAAACCTTGTACACAAGATGCACTGTAAAGCACTTTATATACTCTTGTGCAGTACAAGTTGTTATTACTATACAAGTAAAAGGTATTTCCAGATATATTGACAGTAAACTAAAATGCTCTTAGTTTTCCTAAATATCTTATGCTTTCATTATTTAATTCGAAATTTGAAAATCTTTTAAAACTCCAAATACCTAACAATCATATTCAGAAGATTTTCAAAAATAGGGTAAACCTTCCATCTACAAAAAAAATCTTTCTATAATATTTTAAGAAAGAGCTGACCATCCAGTGAGGTTAAGAGGAGACTAGAACATGCATTAGTTTAAAAAAAAGGAAAAGGGAGGAGAAATAATTCAAACTGGAGAACTTTTGTATTCATGAACTATAAGAACATCAAAAAACCAAACTAAACTCACTGCCATCTAGTCGGATCTGATTCACAGCGACCCCTCCTTGGGTTTCCAAGGCAATATCACTATTGAAGCAGACTGCACAATCTTCCTTCCAAGGAGTGGTTGGTGGGTTTGAACCACTAGCCTTCTGGTTAGCAGTCAAATGCCTTAGGCACTATGCCACCAGAGCTCCATAAGAACATCAGATATATGTAAACTTCAGTATTAAGTATAAAAACATAAACCAACTCAGATACAATTATTTTGGATAATCTATACTTTTTTCTCTTATATATCACTGGTGGTAATGCAAAATGGTAACAGCTGAACAGTTTCTTGCTAAACATGCAACCACTATACAATTTAGCATCTGTACACTTGGCCATTTATCCCAGAGTAATGTAAATTTATGTTCACACAAAAATCTGTACATGAATTTTCATAGCAACTTTATTCATAATAGCCAAAAACTGGAAATAATCCAGATGTCCTTCAAAGGATGAACAGTTAAACTATGATCCATCCATACCATGGCACTACTGAGCAAACAAAAGGAATGGACTGATAAGGGTTTAATATCCAAAATACATGAAGAACTCCTACAACTTAACAAAAAGACAAACCACCCAATCAAAAAATGGGTAAAGGACTTGAAGAGACATTTCGCTAAACAGGATCTACAAATGACCAACACGAACATGAAAAAATGCATCAAATCATAAAAAAAAATGCCCAACTCACTGCCGTCAAGTCGGAACCGACTCATAGTGACCCCTCCTTGGGTTTCCAAGGCTGGTATCACTACAGAAGTAGATTGCCTAATCTTCCTTCCAAGGAGTGGCTGGTGGGTTTGAACTGCCAGCCTACTGGTTAGCAGCCAAATGCCTTAGGCACGGTGCCACCAGAGCTCCTATTAAGTCATTAGGGAGACATAAATGAAAACCACAATGAGATACCACTTCACTCACACCAGAATGGCTATGATAAAAAAGGAAAATAACAGGTGTTGGCTGGTATGGGACAAAGTGGAACCTTCATCCAGTGCTGATGGGAAGGTAAAATGGTAGAGATACTGCTGAAAATTTGAAAATTTAGCATTCCTCAAAAAGTTAAATATGTATCATAAAAAAAATACAAAAAAAATCAATGCCATCAAGTAGATTCCATCTTACAGCAATTCTACAGGACAGAGTAGCATTGGCCCATAGTGTAAATCTTTATGGAAGCAGACTCCCTCATCTTTCATCTTTCTCCCACAGAACAGGCTGGTGGGTTCAAACCACCACCTTTTGGTTAGCAGCCGAATGCTTTTACCACTGTACCACCAGTGCTCTGATACAGATCATGTGACCCAGCAATCTCAATACAGGTTATACCCCCATAACAAAAAAACGGAAAGCAGAAATACAAACAGAAACATGTACACCAGTGGCTGAATCTTGAAAACACATTATGCTGAGTGATACAAGTCATTCACAAAAGGACAAATATCGTATGATCCCACTTACATGAAATATCTAGAACAGGCAAAGGGATAGAGACCAAATTGTTTTCATGGTTACCAGGGGTGGGAGGGAAGGCGAAGGGGGAGTCATTACCATTCTGTTAATGGTGATAGAAGAATGTGGAAAAGGATAGTGGTGACAGCATACAACATCACGAATGTAATTAATGTTAATTAACGGTATCTATAGAAAATGCTGAGTTGACAAATGGTTTGTTATATATGTATTTTTACCACAATGAAAAAAAAAAAGGAACAGACTATTGATATATACCACTTGGATGAATCTCTAAATAATTATGCAGAGTGAAAAATAAAAGTCAATTCTAAAAGGAAACATACTATGATTCCATTTATACATTCTGGAAATATCAAAATTATAGTAAGGGAGAACATTAGGAGCAGGACTCCTAAAAAACAAGGGTTATAATGCCTGGTAAGTGGAGGGTCAGCAAAAAAGGGGACGACCTTCAACAAGATGAATGACACCGTGGCTACAATGATGGGCTCAAGTATAGCAAGGATTGTGAGGATGGCACATGACTGGGCAGTGTTTCGTTCTGTTGTACACAGGGTCACTAGGAGTCAGTCGGAACCGACTCGATGGCACCTAACAGCTACGACAAAAACAATAGGTGAAATTTTTGTGGTGATGGAACTGTTGTATATATTGACCATAACAATGTCAATATCCTGGTTGTGATATCGTACTATAATTTTCCAAGATATTATTACTGAAAGAAACTGGGTAAAAGGATACGCAGGATCTCTCTGTATTATTTTATACATCTGAACGTGAATCTACAATAATGTCAAAATAAAGAGTTTAATTTATAACTTTAAAAGAAAAAAAAGCAATTTTTAGTAAGTGTATCTGATGGCTGGGGTTACAGATAATTTTCATTCTTTATACTTTTCTGTATTTCTAAAATGAATACGTATATTATATAACAAAAAATAAAACATTATGTTTTAAAATTGTCTTCTGAGGCTCATGGATTACTTTTATGCTAAACAAACTTACTAAAGATGTAATTGTTATGAAGCTCATTATTCATCGTACTGTATAAATTAGTTTAAACAAATCTCCTTCCATTGTACTTAGAAGAGAGAAAAATAATTCTGATTAGAGGAATACAAGAGATACAGCATCAGAAGAGTGCAACACTGGGAGGCATTCAACAGCCAGAATCTGCCAAGAGGACATGGAAGGAAAAAGTGTAGAAAAGAAGGTAAAATAGCAGAAAAACTGTCAATAGAGCAACATTTCATTGCTGTCTTGGTGACAATCATTTTTCATCTTTTTTTTTCATTTAACAAAAATTTAATTACATTTACATTCAATACACTCTATTAAAGAATAAAAGGGAGAGACAGTTTAGTATATCATTTAAGAACATAAAGATTAGAGTCAGTTCCCAGATCTATCACTGAAATAGTGAGTCCACCTGGGCAAGTTATCTGTACAACGTCTATCCCCACTTTCCTTACCTGTAAAGTGGGTAACATAAGACTCATGTCATAATGTTGTAAGGATTAAAGAACGTAATTTTTAAAGCACATAAGAAAATGCTCAAGTAATAAATGTTAGTTATTTACTATACTATTACTAGTTCTGGTGATGTAAGGTACTTGACCACTAAGCAGAAGACTGGAGGTTCAAACCCACCAGCCGCTCCTCAGAAGGAAGGTTGGGCAATCTATTACTGTTACTATAAGAATAAAACATAATATATTTTATAGCCCACTGACTTATTCCTGAAATTATATATAAGTCCTGTACTCATGCAAAATAAGGTCATTTTTTAGTATGGAATTTCTTACTGGCAAACCGTAGTTGCCAGTCTTTTCAACAGAGCATTACCTTATGATTCTCTGCATTCTCCATGGCAAAGTAAGGTGGCATTGCAGTGACAATGATTCCCAGCAAAGCTGCTTGAAAATACAGCTCAATTTTAAAAACTATGTCAGAAATTTCCTGAAAGACAACCACAGAATAAGAAATGGTATCAAGAAGCATTTTATATCATCTCATTAGTTTGAGACTATGAAAACCCTCTGAAGGAACATATCAGGGTATCTATCCTAGACAAGGTCTGTTTGAAAGAATGGGGGGCAGAGCTTTGAGTGGGCAGTGGGTTATAGTACCAACTCTGCAACTTGTTAAACAGGTATGATTCTGAACAAATCCATTATGGTCAATCATATAGAATTTGATAAAGGAAGAAAAAAAAGAAATATTAGGAATATTAGTAAGACTACCCTATACATAACTAGCTTTTAAAAAAGTCTCATTTCTTTACTTCTGGTTTTAAAAAAACAGTATGAGGCATGACAATGTTTAATGGAAAATATCAGTTGCAAGATCCTTTGTCAAGTTATGGCTACATAGATATGTAGTAATATCATAAAAACATGTACAGGAAGTGTAAATTCTGAACTATGGTTAAATGGACTTGCTTACTTTCCTTTTCAGAATGCTAATTGCTGATGTACAGAAACCCAAAGGACTCTCATATGTTGACCATGTGTTCCGCCACTTTGCTGAAGTCATTGTTAGCTCTAGTAGCTTTTTTGTGGATTCTTTAGTGTTTCCTATAAATAGAATGTGTCATCTGCAAAGAGGGATCGTATGTCTTTTTCCTTCCCAATTTGGATAAATTTTTATTTCTTTTCCTTGGCTAAGTGCTCTGACTAGGACTTCCAGTAAAATATTTAACAGAAGTGTTAAAAGCAGGAATCCTTGTCTTAAGGGAAAAATCCTCATCTTAAGGGAAAAAGTCTCGGTCTTTCTCCATTGATGATGCTAGCTGTGAGTCTTTCCATAAAAGACTTTCATCATATTGAGGAATTCTCCTTCTATTCCTAGCTTCTCGAATATTTTTATCATGAAAGGGTTTTGTCAAATGCCTTTTCTGCATCCATTGAGATGATCGTGTGGTTCTTTCCTTTTTCTGCTGATGTGGTGTATTACATGGGTTGATTTTCTAATGCTGAACCACCCTTACACTCCTGGGATAAATCCCACTTGATCATGGTGCAAAATCCTTTTCATATGCTTTTGAATTCGGTTTGCTAGTATTTGGTGAGGATTTTCACATTTCCCACTCAAGCCTTAAGAAGACTAGGAAACCTCACAAGATGAACTTTTTCAGATTTCATTTGTTATCAACTGGCTTTCCGTATGTATTACATATACTACGAGTATGTATATATAGAGTATATATGATGACAGGACATATACTTTTTAGTTTGCTTACTTGAAAGAAAGGAGTACTCCAGATCTGGATAGTTTCAGTCACATTTAGATGATAAAGATAGTAGTTACTAATTATATTCATCAACACAGGTAACGAATAAACCATAGTACTGTTGAAAACAGCTGAAAAAATATAGTCCTACAATAAAGAAGAAAAAAGACTCATTGCACACTACATATAAATTTAAATGGATCTGGTGGCACAGTGCCTAAGGCATCTGAGTGCTAACAAGGTGGGTGGATACCCACTAGCTGCTCCATAGAAGGATGATGGGGCAATCTACTTCCATAAAGATTTACTTCCTTGGAAACCCAGTGGGGGTCGCTATGAGTCCAAAGTGACTCGAAGGCAGTGGGTTTTTGGTATGCAGCATACCAAGCTTTTCTTACCAAGCTAATTCTCACCAACTACATGGAAAGCTATTTCAACAGACCGTACACAAAATACTAATGACAATAAAGACAATCTGGTTTGAAATGTTCAGAGATTTTCATATTTTAGGCAAAAATAAAACATAAAAATCAAAATCAAATTCCTTGTAACTTTACACATTGGTCATTCATCAGGACATAATACATATCATAAACAAATACTGCCTGTTTACAAGAGCAGATCTATTTCCCACTAATGAAGTCAAATCAGCAAACAATTAATTTTCAAGGAACTGTTTTAAATACTTCATAACTCTCAAATGGGTACTCACGCACACCAATGACTCCTACCTTTTCCGAGCGCATCACATTTAAAGCTGCACTGTGTGGAGCAGCAGACACATAGTCGCTGTCATTAAACATCGTCACCATTATGTTCTGTTTTGTGAAAAAGCTAATGAGATCACTGACATCTGAGTCTGGTATTAGAAAATAAGCAAATAATAAAGAATCAATTTAAATAAGAAGCAGACAACCTGTTTAAATAATAGACATATACTGTAAGATTACACCTTTTAGAAAAATATTTTATCTTCATTAAATAAGTGAGTAACAACACTGGCTCTGGAGCCAGCCAGCCTGAATTAAAATTCTACTTGTACCACTTACACTATCTTTCTTTCAAGAGAGTTACCTAGATACTCTTGAATCTTATTTCCTCTTTTGTAAAATGGGGACAAAGAGTGACCATGAGAATTAAATGATTCCAAGGAGGCACTGGCTTAGAACAGAACCTGGCAACTGGGCCAATTCTAGTTGCTGCTGCTGGGGGAGCTCTGGTGGTGTAGTGCCTAAGGCATTTGACTGCTAACCAGAAGGCTAGAGGTTCAAATCAACCAGCCACTCCTCAGAAGGAAGACTGGGCAATCTACTTCCATAGTGATACCGCCTCAGGAAGAGGGGTCACTATGAGTCGGATCCAACTCAATGGTAGTCAGTAAGAGAGTGAGTGCTGCTGCTGCTACTATTACAATACTCACAAAAAATCAGATTAGTGAGAATAAAAATCTGATTGGCAATTTTATGTAAGAAGGTAACTTGCTGGGCTCAAAAAGGTACAGTACAAACTTTTGGCTGGGTAATATAACACCCTAAAGGATGTCTGTATGCTCTGGACAGACGTTTTATAAACGTCGACTGCCTTAGCTACCTTACAATATTCAAATACATCAGGTTTCCATCTGTAGCCTCTTAATTTTTCTGGAGGCAAGAGGAAGATTCTGAATCCTGTCTGGGGTTTAAATCTATACCAACATGTCTGACAAATGCAGTAGTTCCTCCTCCATTACCACAGAAGCCAGGATTAAAGGAAGGACAAATGGAATGTGGAGAAAAATCAAAACCAAATAATGTAAAGCACAATCAGTCACTAAGGATCCTGATGGTGCGGTGATTACAGCACTCAGCTGCTAAGCAAAAGGTCGGCAGTTCAAACCCATCAGCCACTCCATGGGAGAAAGATGAGGCAGTCAGCTTCTGTAAAGATTTTAGCCTTGGACACTCTGTGGGGTAGTTCTACTCTGTCCTGTTGGGTTGCTATGAGTTAGAATCGACTTAACAGCACTTAACAATCAGTACCTAAGTGGTGTGGCATGGGGATCAAATTTAGCACCAAACCTGAGTGTTGTAAAGAATGGTGCTTTTAACCACAGTGTCCTACTATCTTTAACTATTCCCAGCCTAACGCCTTAATTGATCTCTGTCTTCTGCTTGCCAGAGTAGCTGTGTACTCAGCCACAGGAGAAGTGAACGAACTGGAGAGAGGATATGCTACCATTCAATATATGCTTACAAGTACACTTAATGTACGCATACACCAGAACTCCTAAAAGTGGCCTTACTGAAACCAGCAACAGGACTTACGAAAATAGGGGATATATATGTAAACAAATCTAGTAATATTAAATAATAATGGAAGAGGCAAAAACTTTGAAAATACTAAAAGTTCTTGTAGATTAATAAGTGGGAAATCAAGGCCTAGACAGTTGTGATAAATGTATAGTTCCCCAAAACACATATAAAAATGTCACAATGAATGTAACTGTCGATGCAGTACTATATTTTACCAATATAAAATGTAGATTAAAACAGAAAACAAGAATTCTAACTAAAGAAAACTTCAAAACAACATTTTCTATTAAAGAGTAATTTTCTATCAGTAAATGAATTCTTCACCTAATAGTGTGAAGGTTATATAATAGACTTGTTGTTGTTGTTGTTGTTATGTGCCGTGGAGTCGGCCCCGACTCATAGCGACCCCTCCTTGGGTTTCCGAGGCAGTATCACTACGGAAGTAGGATTGCCCAACCTTCCTTCCGAGGAGTGGAAGGAGCTCTGGTAGCATAGTGCCTAAGGCACTTGACTGCTATCCAGAAGGCTGGCGGTTCAAACCCACCAGCCACTCCTCGGAAGGAAGGTTGGGCAATCCTACTTCCGTAGTGATACTGCCTCGGAAACCCAAGGAGGGGTTGCTATGAGTTGGGGCCGACTCGACGTCAAATAACAACAACAACAACATCATCACACTGAAATCTGAAACTCCTATATAATAGACTAGGAGTCTGATTTTAACAGTGATCTCTTTACTGTAATTTATAATCATCCCTAACCATGATTATTATTTTAACACTGGGCAAAACTCTTCAGTAAATAGTACATCAAAAAAGAAACATACTAAAAAACAGAAGACGTGTCAGGAAACAGTAAACCCTAAAGAGTTTGTGAGTATAACGAGACATATATGTAATACAATTCTCTAATGTATTTCAGCAAGATAGAAAATAAAGCTGCTTTTGTTTTGCTGTAAACTTGCCAGAGTGATTTTAGCTTTGAGAAGAGTGAATTTATCTTCAGGAATCATGGGATTACAAACTATTTATGCAGATGGAAGCTGTTGTAGGAAAAACTGACCAAGTGTGAATAAAATTTTGTATTAAGTTTAACATTTTGAAATCTGTTCTGAGCCTTGCTCAAGGATTTAAGTTAAAAAAAAAAAAAAAAACCTTAAAAAGTATTTGACAATTATGTAGTAAGAATAAACCAAAAGACAAAAAAAAAAAAAACTGCCACAGAGTTGATTCTGACTCATAGTGACCTACATTAGGATTCCAAAGTGGTAAATCTTTATGGAAGTAGACTGCCCAGTCTGCCTTCTGCAGAATAGCTGGTGGGTTTGAACCACCAACCTTCTGGTTAGCAGCCAGATGCCTTAGGCTCCTTGTAGTAAGAATAACCTGTGGTAAATCTAAATATATCTATTACAAATACAATATATTTGATCATAGATATAAGGATTATTATTTTTTTTTTAATTCTAACTAACTCTTTAGGTAGTCCTTGAAGGATTGTTTCAACATTTCTAGTTGTCATATCTAATTGCAAAAAAATTAGATGTCATAACTCTTTCTGAAGGTATTTTTTGGCTTCTGAAGTTTGTTTTACTCAAAATGAACTGTGAGATAAAACAACATGCTGCTAAAAAGTAACTTTTGCTGTTAAAAAGGGGAATTTACGATGATAAACAGTACAAATCAGAGTATTTTAAAAACCTGTTGTTTACACTTCAACCAACATTCCAGTTCTGTAATATATTATTCTGCATCAATAAATACGTGTTTAATTCAGATTTCATGTAGACAAACTAGGCCTTTACCTCAAATACATGTCTAAAATCCAGTCCTCTAACCTATTTCCTCCCCTCACCCCACACTTCAACCAGCACTCATTCACAGACCTTCACACACTCTCACCAGTAGAATTTTGAAGAAGCAGACTTGTTTTGTACTTATGTGGTTTATCTTCAGGTTTTAGGAAATATAAATCTGGAACAAGTTTGATGGGAACCACTGCATTTTTAAAAGAGTGATGCACCAAAAACATAAAAACCTGAACTGCAAAAAAAACTAAAAGCAGAAGCAATCTGAAAAGAAAAAAATTAATAAAGTCAATGCACACTAATATGTGAATCTAGTATAAATCTTTCTTCCCATGATAGTTAAAAGGTAAACATTTATAATCAAATAAACTAAGGAGAAAAAAAAAAAAACTGTAAAAAGTAGAATTTCTACTCCCCAAAATGATCTCATGTCAGAAAGTCAATACTCAATGACAAAAGTAAAAGTCACAGAAATATATTTTGGATAGTCATTCTGAAATTTTTATAAGGTATGCAAGCATGGTTATTATACAAAGAATCAAACATCTTAGCATTTTTTGTATCTATTCTCCTGTAAGAACTATTTCTTACCTTGTGTCTACTTAAATCGTTCACTCTCCACATATAAACAAAAATATTTTAGATACAAAGAAGAAAATAAAAATTCAGTGACATACTGAATGATTGATATCTTTGAAGTTTTATCCTATGTTCAATTTAATCACATTAACTTCTGTTGGTCCTCTTAGAAGGAACCAAAGAAGGCATATATTACATTGATTCATAATAAAATTGGCACTGCTTTGCAATGGCTCTGAGTGTCCCTCCTGTCCCCATCCTTTTACTTTTCTCTTATTTTTAACTCATTCTCTTACCGCCTGTTCTAGAATTGTTGTGCTGGCCCCGACATTTGGCGCCCGAACAGGGACTCAAAAGTGAAGGAAGGTGGCCACAAGGAATTTGATAATCAGGAGACATATTGAAAATAAATAATCAGGTAAGAGAACCTCACCTAATGAGGTGGGGGACAACGGGAGTAAAAAATTATGGGGCAAGAACAGTCTGTTGAACGTACTTACTTTTTAGTTTCTTTACAAGCTTTGTTAAAGGATAAAGGTATTTCAGTTTCTAAGTCTACTCTTAAAGCTTTTTTTTCCACAGTTCAGGAGTTATGCCCTTGGTTTCCAGAAGAGGGTACGGTGAATTTAGAAGCTTGGAGAAAAGTTGGTCAAGAATTTAAAAATCAAATATCTCTTAGAAGTTCCTCTGCTTTGCCAGATAATACTATGACTTTGTGGGATCGAATTAGAGAAGTGTTAGATCCACCGTAGTTATTCCTACTGCTCCTATTGCTCCCTCTCCTCCACCCTCTCCTTCCCCCTTTCTCCACAGTTGTAAGAATCACCAGTAAATAATTTTACTACCCAATGAAAATGCCCTTTTAGCAGAAGACAGCTACTTATCCTGCAAAACACCTCTACATTGTTTGTGGTGTTACAATAAATGGGTAGAGCACTTAGATTATCACACTTCATTTAGCATTTTATAATATTCAGAAAACCCACACTTTTTTTTACTCATTCTTAAGTTGTTTATAAGTATCTATAAATCAACATTTCCAAAAGCATGTTGCACTGAACTCTAGATCTACAATAAGTTAATAGTTGTTAGGTAAAAAATGTTTCATAATTAAATGACATTGGGAAACTTTAGGTTAAATAAAGTTGAACTAATTTCTTCACCACAGACCCTCTCATGTGTTTTTACATGCTAATAAACAACTCTTCAAGAGAGGGAATATAAAATGGATTATTTCCTAAAGGTATTTTACCATCCAATACTGTTATCACTTCCAGGGAGCATTTTATGAGTAGTGCTCTTGCATGCTGACATGAGGGAACCCTTTTCTTCCAGTAATGCTGATGTAGGAATAAGTCATACTTGACTGATAAATCAGTCAAGAGGTGAATAAACTTGATCAAAAAGGCAAATGAATTCAGCATATTTCAAACATACAATATTCTTATTTCTGATTACTAAGTTTTGTTTCTACTGCCGTTGTGGAGCTAAGACAGGTGTGGCATATGTAAGCAATTAACACATGTCACTCCAAATCATTCTCATTAACACAAAGCCTTGTGTCCCATGGGAACCTGAGAGGCAAAAGCTAAGTTGAGAAGATGTCATTATGATCACAGTTCTACCAGTTATAAGGCCTTCTCCACATCTCAGTTTCTTTACCTGTTGTTCACAAAGGGTGGTGAATAAGAATTAACCAATGTAGGCAAAAACTTACGAAAAACATAAATGCATAATGAAATTGTTGTTTTTAGGTGCCGTTGAGATGGTTCTAACTCATAGCAACCTTATGTAGAAGAGAATGAAACACTGCCTGGTCCTGTGCCATCCTCATAACGGATGCTGTATCTGGGCCCATTTTTACAGCCACTGTGTCAATCCATCTCCTTGAGGGTCTTCTTTTTCTCTGACTCTCTTCTTTACCAAGCATGATGTCCCTCTTCAGCAAGCAACTGCTCCTCCTGATAACATGTCCAAAGTACAGGAGACAAAGTGTCAACATCCTTGCTCCTAAGAAGCACTGGCTGTACTACTTCTGAGACAAATTTGTCCATTCTTCTGGCAGTGTATGGTACATTCAATATTCTTCACCAACATCATAAGTCAAAGGCATCAATTCTCCTTTGGTCTTCCTTATTTACTGTCCAGCTATCACATGCATATGAGATGACTGAAAATACCATGGCTTGGGTCAGGCTCATTTGATCCTCAAAGTGACATCTTTTCTTTTAACACTTTAAAGAAGTCTAGCAGATCTTCCCACTGCAATATGCAATTTAATTTCTTGACTGCTGCTTCCATGGGCACTGATTGTGGGTCCAAGTAAAATGAAATCCCTGACAACTTCAATCTTTCCTCTCCACTTTTCATGACAGTGCTCATTGTCCAGTTGTGAACATTTTGTTTTCTTTATGCTGAGGTGTATCTGTACTGAAGGCTGTAGTCTTTGATCTTCATGAGTAAATGCTTCAAGTCTTTTTCACTTTCAGCAAGCAAGATTGTATTATCTGCATATTATAGTTGTTAATGAGTCTTCCTCCAATCTTGTTGCGACATCCTTCTTCTTATAGTCTAACTTCTTGGATTATTTGCTTGGCATATAAATTAAATAAGTATGTGAAAGGATACAACCCTGACACACACCTTTCCTGATTTAGAAACAATTAGAGGATATTACCTGTCACTCCTTGATTTCATAGATGTGATAATAAATGTTAATAAGGTTCTAAAAGTCTACAATGAAATTACTGAAAGCATAATTATTTTTTCTCTGACATTTAAAAGTTATAGTTTTAATCTCTTAAAACTACATAAATTATTTACATATGTCTGCATTTAAAAAATTAAGATGGTCAATCAAATTTATATCCCAATAAAACAAAAACAAAAAAATTCATCCAGTAAAAGAGTGATGACACTTACACAGATCTCAGTGATTTACTTTCACGTTTCAAGGTAAGGAAATGAAACTTTGCTATTGTGTACACCTGCTGTTTCCAAAGGCTCATGGAGCTCACTAGAGAAGCCTTGGTTTCAGAGAGAGTAAGTAAGCTCTGCTCCATTTCATCAAAAGATTTTATATCCATTTCTTCCTCTGGTGGCTGCTGAGTAAATACACTGTAATCTATTTGCCAAAACAAAAAGATAAGACAGAAAGTTGCAGCATACTCCTTAGAAAGATAAAAACCTTTCTGCAGCAAGTGAAGTTTAAAGTGGCACTCATCTGGTGGTGATGTGGAGCAAATGGAACTATCAAACACTTTTGCAGTATCGACTAAAGCTGAACATAAGCATTTCTTACAAGCCACGACATTCCCCACTAGGTATAAACCTCAAAGGAACATGCACATAAGTTCACCAAAATGCACGTGCAGGAATGTTCTTAGGAAGCAACCCTATCCAGAACAGCGATGGACTAAACGGAAGCCAACCATCCATCAACAGGGAAATGAATGAATAGGTTGTGAAACAGTGCTACAATGGAAGAGTATAAAACAGTGCTACTATACAACTACACATAACAACACAGCTGTTGAACAGAAGAAGCTAGACACGAAAGAAACATATTACATGTTTTTTATTTCCAAAACAGGCAAAGTCAATTGAAGGGGATAGAAATCAGGCTCTGTTATTTTTCTATCAGGCACTCCATATTCATGTAAAATGTGCATTTTGAGCACCGTGACTCTTACTACAACTTCTGCCATCAGTTTCCTTCATTCACAAACATTGTTATGAACTTCCAATTTTAGGAAAAACTTCCTCAACTCATGTCTTACTCCAAATTCCACAGATCCACTGTGGTCCTCTACATGGCACTGCAATTGCTCGTCTTCTACTTTACCAAATCCCCCACTGTCCTTTCTGTTACCAAAGCCATCTTCTCTCTTGTCATCTTATTCTTCACAGTAATCAACAAATAACTGATCTTTTTTCCTGAAATGCCATTTTACCTTGGCTTTTGCATCTCCATTTTTCTTTAGGGAGAAAAAAGAGCAACAGTTGCTTCTTTTCACTCTATTTGGCTCCATACTTCTGTACAATCAATTCATCATTCAACAACCAAAAGGAGTTTTAAAAAATGCAAATCAGACTCTGATAGCCTCACAGTGCACTAAGAAAACAAGCCAAATTCTACTCCAGACTTTCAAGGCCTCACAGTACTAACCCCAACCCCATACATCTGATCTCACTGAGTACTACCTTCTTCTTGGCTGCTAAGCTCTCATCATGGTGACCCTTTTTCTGTCCTTCAAAGATGGCCAACTCATTTTCCAATTAAGACCTTAGCAATGGCAATTCCCTTATCTGGAAAACTCTGTTCTAAAATCTTTGCCTACCTGATTTTTAATCCAGGTCTCACTTAATGTTATAGCAACAAAATCTTCCTTGACCATACAATCTAAATTAGCTACTGTAAGATCAGTGCATTATTTCCTTCATAATTCTTATCACTACCAGCATATATCTCAATTATTTATTTACCTATGTATTCTTGCCTTTCCCTTCCCAAAACAATGTTAGTGTCACATAGTTATGTAATTATTTGTCTGGTTCATCCCCCAAAATGGTTTGTTAGTATTGTTTATTACCTGCTTGGTCAATTTCTGCTTCAACCTCCAGCTTTAAGAATACATCTTCCAAAGTTGTCATGGAAACACCATAAGAAATAACACCCAAACTAGAATGAGTGTCCAGAGCAGAAAACAAACCTAAAAGAAAAAAAATTTAAAAATACTGTATAGTTAAGCATGAATTATTTTCAAATACCCTTTAAAAACAGTATATGACTATATTTATACTGCTAGCACAGTGATTCCCAAACTATCTAGTCTTAGAACTCCTTTCTTATTCCTAAAAATTGTTAAGGGCCCCAAAGAAGTTGAAAGATTTCAATAAAAAGAAGGCATTGTTTTATATTTTTGCAATCTCTTATTTGCTTCTGTATTTAGTCTATCATGAAGGTACATGTGCTGCAGTCCCTGGGAAACTCCACTGAATTCTCATGAGACAGGATCAAAAAGGCAGTAATGTCTCAGTACTATTTAAGGGTGGTATAAATGGCTAACCTACTTGGCTGCTCTGACAGTTAAAACGGTGTGTGTCAACTTGGCTGGGCTGTGATTTTGAATGGCTTGGCAGCTGGATGTAGTTATTCTCCATGATGAGAATGGATGCAGTATAACCACCTGCATGGTGAAATCTGCTGTGAGTAGTTAATCAGTTGAAGGGGAGTTGCCTTCGGGGTGTGGCCTGCTTCCAGTACATATTGAAAGGACCCTGCATTAGGCCCATCATTGCCTCCAGTTCCTGGACTTGAACCAGAGGCCTACCAAGCTGCCTGCTGATCTTGAGATTATTGTCTTCACAGCCTATGAATCAACGGTCTGCCATTTTACCTGCTGATCTTGGATGTGTCAGCCTCAGCAGCCACATCTGGCTATACTGCCTGCCAATCTTGAGTTCATCAGCTGTGTGAGTCAGGAGATGCCTCCAGCTTGCTCTAGCAGGCATGGAAGGCAGAACTGAAGGCCAAGGTCGAGGGGTCTCCAGTTAGCCCCTAGAACTGGCATTCTGAACTCAGACATCTAGCCTAGCCTTCTCCTAGAGCTGTCACTCTGATTTTGGACTTCTAGCCTCCTAAACCCTGAGAGAATAAATTTCTGTTTGTTGAAGCCGTCCACTTGTGGTATTACTGTTATAGGAGCACTAGAGAACTAAGACAGCCATAAACTGAAAGGAGATTCAAGTTCGCCCAGAGGTGCCTTGAAAGAAAGGCCTGGCAATCCACTTCCCAAAAATCAGCCACTGAAAACACTATGGAGCACAGTTCTCCTCTACACAATAGTTACTGGAGGAAAACTGCTCAATGAGTCAGAACAGATGTATCATGAAAAAGTTTTGACTGCATGAGAACATCTTAGGATCCACTTTATAGGAGTTCCTAGGTCACACTTTGAAAACCAGTGAACCAGTGTGACAACTTATTAAAGACACATGCAAGGCAACAAAGTATGGTGAAGAACACAGTTCTGCAATCATCAGCCTGGGTTCAAAGCTCAGTTTGACCATTGTCTACCTGTGTTACCTTAGGCAAGTTACCTAACTTTCTATACCTCAGTTTCCTCATTTATAAAATGGTAACAATAATACAATAGCAATCTTTACCTTACACAGTTGTTGATAATGTATTAAGATAATTAGTAACTAAGAATGTTAAAAGGCATAGATTAGCATCCTATACTTATAAGCATTATGTAAGAGTTATTAAAGAATTAGAGGTGGGTAAACAGAATAATTAGCATTATATATTTCAATCTAGTTAATTAATGATTTATTTTTATTTTTTAAAGAAAGCAATTTACCTAATATAGAAAATTTTATCCAGTTTTAAGATAAACATTATGGGAATTCTGCCAACATATACCATCAGTAATATTCATTTGGTTATTAAGAGATTTTTAAGCAGATGAAAAAAGACTAAGTTTAGGTTCATGATAAAATGGAAAAATACTGCCTCAATTAATTCAAGGGTTTACCATGTAATTCATTATGTAATCATGGAACTAGAGAAGAACTTGAGAACATATACAAGCAACTATAAGGAAGACCTTATTCCCAGTAGGTCTTCAAGCAAATTTGAAAAGATTTCTTTCTTTCATGATAACAAAGCTAACACATTATTTTGTATGTTTTTTTCTTTCATTTTTTTGAGCATTTACATTAACACACCAGTTACAGTTTTTTACGTGCTGTTTATATAAAGAAGAAATATGTTAGCTTGTTGTATTTCTGGTTTTCAGAAACAAAAATAAACAGAGTATTAACTCTGGTCCCATACAGCATAAAAATATTACATAAAAAAGTAAACAGGATAAAAGAAGAAAAAAATTATTCCCAGTGCAAGACCCCCATTCAACAACCAAGAAATGGAAAGTAGGTGGTACCTGAAAATTTGTCCATGTCCTTGAAAGGCAAGCTATATACAAGCTGTTGGTCATTCTGTTGCAATAAAGTAGCTCCAGGTATATGTTGTTTAACCAGTGAAGAAAGAGATTCTGTGGCACAATATCTATCTATGTACATGCTAAAGAGACCAAAAATCATACCATTACTCAGTAAACAACCAAAAAGGGAAATTCAGAATGTTCTAAATTTAATTTAGTGTCCTAAAAGACAGCCCAAGCACACTATGGCAAACTGCAGTGTAGTAAATTACATCGTGTGGCTCTTCTAGCCATAAGTCTCTGCAAACTGCCTGGTGGAATTTGCTGTGAGCAACGGAGCAGCTCCTGATCGTTAAAGTTATCCATCCACCTGGCCTATTTCTGTTGAGAGTGGAGGAAGCAATCTTCTAGGACGTTCTCTCTCTCTCAGGTGTGTAGAATTCTGATGTTAGGACTGGTTAGTTTGGCCACTCTGCCAAGCTCAAAAGGAGCCCTCCTAGAAGCAGGAATCTCTCTGACTGCTTGCTGAGAAAGACATGCTGGTGAGAGAAATGTGCTCCTGAGAGACACGCACTTGCTGAGAGAGAGACAAGAGAGACACGCACTAAGAGAGAGACGTGAGAGACACGTGCTGCTGAGAGACAGACACGAGAGACACAATGCTGAGAGACAAACACAGAGACATGCTGCTGAGATGTGAAACACACACTTCTGAGAGAGACTCGAGAAACACACTGCTAAGAGAGATATGAGAGACACATGCTGCTGAGAGATGCAAGAGACACATGCTGCTGAGAGACAAGAGAGACATGTGCTGCTGAGAGAGAGACTACTGGTTGCTACGTGAGATGGCTGACTATGAGAAACTGAGTGTATTTCTGAACTTGAATTGCAGGCTGCTGCTTCCCTCATAAACCCCATAATCTGTGAGTTCTATATGGCTACTGCAATTAATTATTGAACCCAGCAGAGAGGTGGTGAGTGCTGGGGGAGGAAATGTTGGTGTCAGGGTTTTTCAAATGGCTGGAGGAAGCAGCATGTCTGGCCTCGTAGGAATAGGCCTTGGGCTACTGATGGTGATTCTGTCTTCCTCTTGTGGGGGTAGAGGAGGTCAGAAGACATGGACTCCTTGCCCCTTTGTCACAAACCCCAAAAAATATTAATAGTAGATGAACAGAATGATAAAGAATAAATATAATAAAGAATGAATATAATACCTACCTTAGACGGTAGCCAATCCCCCATTTGCTTTTGAGAAAAATTGAAGAGCCAACACATTTCAACATTCCTTGTGATATGACTGCTTTCCTATCTGCAAACAGAGATTTATACATTTCAATTTATAAATTAATAGTGCATTAATAATTGGCATTTATATTGCCTGAATTAACCTATGAAAGATGCCTGTGTATTATCTCATTAAAGCATCACAACAACCCCATGTAGAAGGTACTAGATTATCACCACCTTTTGTTGGCTAAGGACACAAGTTAGTAAGAAACTCTACTGCTTGTCCCTGGTCTCAGAGTTATTACATGACAAAGCTGGAATTTGTACTCAGGCAGTCTGACTCTAGAGTTCACTTTCCTGACACTGCTCTGAATATTTCAGACTCTTCCTAAGAGGGTTTCTAAAGTGCAGGCTTTCACAATTTCCTTTATAACCAAACATAAAAACAGCTTCAAAAAGCAAAAGAAATGACTACAAAAACAAAATGTTAAGTTTGTTGCTTTTTCTCAAAGATACTAGTGAAGAGATCACCTGCTCCACTTATTAAACTGTATTATATTATGTTGTATTACATGTATAAAAGCATCACTCCAGAATTGTGAAATCTGAGGTCCTGTGGTGTGTTGATTTAAACACAGGTTCTTTATATACACGTATTTGTTAAAAAAAAAAAAAACCTGACACTCTTATCCTTAGAAAGTCCTGCTAACAATGTTGGTCCTTGGCTGGTGTTTAGAAACTTGACTTTGGGGAAGGTTCCCACTATTCATGGAACACATAAGAGGGACTCACTGTACTTAAACTGTACAAATACTTGCTGAACAGCTGCTTTTCTTCTGGAGGCCTGGACTTTTAGTACACGCTAGGCCTGCGAGATTAGCACCCAATAAAAACTGTGGGCACAGAGTCTGTACTGAGCTTCCCTAGTAGGCAGTACTTCCCACATTTTCCCAATTCACTGATGAAGGAATTAAGTGCATCCTGTGCAGCCCCTTTGGGAGAGGGCTTTTAGAACCTAGCGCCTGGTCTCCTCCATACTTTGCCCCATGAGCCTTTCTGTTTACTTATTTTGCTGTGTATTCTTTTGCTGTATTAACTCAGAGCCTTGAATACAGCTATCTGCTGGCTCCTGTGAGCCCACCATAAGGTACCACCAGCTCCTCTATTTATTTCTTAGGATTTATCCACCCTACTTCCATCTCCCTTTTGGCCCCAGTAACTCTTCCTTCAGAAATAGAGTAAAAACTTCACCAGCAAGAATGTCAGCTTCATCCATGAAATGAGTAGTAAACACTGTCACCCGATTGGCTTTTCTGTATTTCAGAAGATTCCAAACAATATGGCGAGAACAGGGGTCCATTCCAGCTGTTGGTTCATCTAGGAGTAGTATCTATGTAAAAAGGAATGGAGAAGAGAAGGAAACCCTCAGAAAAGGTAAAATATTCTAAATATATGTGGTTTCTGAAAATCTTCCCATTCAAGTTATTCTTTCCAGCCAGAAATATATCAGATCTGAGTTTTTCACTTATATTTGAGTTAGTATAAATTTGAAAATCTTTCAGTCTGAAATATGAATATCTTACTAAGTTTAACTTTAAAAGGCTGGTCTCTGTGTGAGTGTAATGAAGATGAGATAAATAAGCAAAAAAAAAAAAAAAAGTGTTTGAACAATTAAATTTTGTAGAAAGAACAATTTTGTAGAAAGAAATATGTCCTATACTAATTTCAAAAAAAAAAAATTAGTTTTAAACTATTTCTTAATTTAAAAATCTCAGTGGTGGAGGTTGGGAAGATTAATTAACAAAAAGCTAGAATCCCAAGTCATTCCCAGAGATCCCTGGACAGGGACAGAGAGGCTGCACTCAGCTAGGAATTCAAAAGATGCCTGTTTGAACCCACATAGCAGCTCCATGGAAGATCCAGGCCTGCTAAATGGCTTCCACAAAGATGACAGCTCCAGAACCTACAGAGTATCCCCAAGTGAATACATAAGTAAACAAATGCCTCAGTAAGCTGTCAAGTCAGCCCCAAGCTGCAATAGTGAGGGGGAATGTGGTACAATGGTGGAGATCAAAAAGGCCCGGGCCTAGCAGCTTTCTAGTCCTGGGCAAAGCAGCACTGCAGTTGATTGTTTCTACAGGACTAAAACCACATAAAAATCAAAGTAGCACTAAGGCACAAATATTGCCCTCTACTCGTCCAGAGTAAAAGAAAAAGAAGGAAAATAAAGGCACAAAGAAAAATACTAGTCTATAGGACTAATGTTATTGTTGTTACGTGCCATCGAGTTGGACCCGACTCATAGCGCTCCCTCCTTGGGTTTCTAAGGCAGTATCACTATGGAAGTAGACTGCCCAACCTTCCTTCCGAGGAGTGGCTGGCGGGTTTGAACCTCCAGCCTTCTGGTTAGCAGTCAAGTGCCTTAGGCACTACACTAGCAGAGCTCCCTATAGGACAAACAGTCCACTCTAATCACAGCCTCACTTACCTTGAGACTGGAAGAACTAGACAATGCCCAGCTATCATTACTGATAGTTCCAACCAGGGATACAACAGATGGTCCCAGATAGAATGGAATAAAAATGTAGAACAAAACCCAAATTCCTAAAAAGAAGGCCCCTCTTACAGGACCAGTAGAGACTACAGGATCTCCAAGATGATCTCCTGGGGATACCCTATAAACCTAGAACACAAACCACTTCCAGAGCCAAATGACAGATCAGCTTGCAAAGTAAATACTACTACATGGGAGTACTGTGCCCCTCTAAATAACCATCTAAATGAAACCTAACCATAAACATTTACCCTAGACCAAAATGAGAAGATAAAGTTAGACAGGGAAGCTAGATTAATGGAATCAGTACAAGCAGAACAGAAATAAGAAGAATACTGACACATTGTGAAAAATGTAAACCATATGTATAGATGGTTAAAAGAGAGCCTAGTTTGCTGTGTAAACTTTCATCATTTAAAAAAAAAAAAAAGAATCCAAGCAGTGTAGAACAGGGATAAACACAACTATTCCTTTGATTGTGTTCTATTTTTCATTATGAACTATTTTAAATACATAGACAAGTACAGAGAATAACAGAATATTGTTACAGCCATCATTCAAATTTAATAAATGTTATTTTTCAGCCATATTTTCTTCAGATTTTTTAAAAGAAATTAAATATTGCAAATATAACGGAAGTCCCTCTTTTTCATCTTTTCTTTCTCCTCATTCCACTATAAACACAATCTAAAAATGAAGGAAAATGATACTAAATGTAAGTGAAAGCAAGTCACCAAGCACATGGGAATGACAGGGCATCATATCATCCAGATTATACCAACTCTTGCCTTATGTCTGTTAACAACCAAATAACTAAGTTACTAGGGTGACTCAGACCACGCTTTAATGAAAGCATGATGGAAATTAAAGCATGATGGGAAAAGTACCTTAGAAGGAACCAGTATCATAAAGACATTATATATCTTTCTGACTTCGGTTTAAAAGCTTTGTGGCAATGATTACATCCATAGTAATGTACAGTACTTTATGTATATTTAAAATTTACATAAATGTATTATATGTATCTTTAAGTTGCTTTTCTTTTCAACAAAAGTTAAAATCATCTTGTCAGTTAAACTAATATTTACTTACCTTAGGATTTCCAAGAACAGCAATTCCTAAAGACAGCTTTCTTTTTTGACCACCACTCAACTTTTTAGCTTGGTTATCTTTGATGGCCTGCAACTCTAAATCCAGTAAAACCTGCTGCACCTGTAAAAGTGAAGTGTGGACAATGTTATTTTAAAAATCATGCTATTTAGGTAATTAGCAGTATTAGTTTTTAAATGCTCCAATTTTAGTGTCAACTTTTGAAATCATTCTTTTAGTACAGAATTTAGTTCTGACATACATTCACATAAAATTCTGAAATAACAGATCTCAACCTTCCTGAGAGAAATGTTTGCTTTTGTGACTTTCTGGGGAGTTAGGAAGAGGTAAGAAAGGATCAGTGTGAAGGTTCTTTGTGTTGGGAGGAGGAAGACATGAGAAAGAAAAGGGAAGGAGGGTGGAAGGAAAGAGACATCTACTTTGTGAGACTAGTATCCTCCAGAAGAAGGACTAGCTTCTGTATACAACATTTACTCCAAATTCTGCCCAATTGTTTATAATGACTTTCTGTTACTAGCTCAGTACAGGTTTTATATTTAGATTTTCAAGCATATTTTTATTACATAATAATTGTCAAAAGGTTATTAATTTACAGAGAATAAAAGTAAAGTTTTCTATACAAATAACCTACTTCTTGTATTATATTGTTGGCTGGTATTCCTTTGATTGAAGCCAAAATTGATAAATTTTCTTCTACTGTCAGAACATCAAAGTGTATATCTAATTGTGGACAAATGCCAATCATTTTTCTTGCTTCAAACATTTCATCTATTTCAGAGACTTTGTGTCCATATATAGCTGCAAACCCTAAAAGCAAATATATGTATTTATATTAAATATTAATTATTAAAAAGTGTGCATGCTTTAAGTTACCCTAGTAACTTAGTTATTTGGTTGTTAACAGACATAAGGTAAGAGTTGGTATAAATCTGGATGATATGATGCCCTGTCATTCCCATGTGCTTGGTGACTTGCTTTCACTTACATTCAGTATCATTTTCCTTCATTTCTAGATTGTATTATAGAGTGGAATGAGGAACTAGAAGCTTCACATTAAGCACAATTACCTACTGGTGCATTATTTTCACTTACATTCCAGTAATAATTTTCTTTCATTTCCAGGTATTATGAAATGGTGAAGACAACAAGGTTTAAAAGCTTTTTCCTTACTAGTTCTATGGTCTTGGAAAAATCACTTAATTTCTCTGAATAAGAGCTTCTCTCTTTTATAAACTGAATACTAACATAGTCATGCATTGTTTAACAACCATGACATGTTCATACAACATTATGTGATTTGGAAATTATGCAAACACCATATCGTATCTGGGCCTGCTTTTTCTTTAAGCATCTTGAACAACTTTCCTGCCTTAGCCGTGATCATCAACGGGCTGAGAGGAATTCATTTTTGCATTTGGTCCTGAATTTCTCCATAACTGATTTAAGTCCTTCTTGCATTTTTGTTAGCTTACTAACTATGGTGGTGCAGTGGTTAAAGCATCTGACTGCTAACCAAAAAGTTGATGGTTCAAACCTACCAGCTGTTACACAGAAGAAAGATGAAGCGGTCTGCTTCCATAAAGCTTTGGAAACCCTAAGGGACAATTCTACTCTGTTCTATAGGGTCATCATGAGTCAGAATCAACTCGATGGCAGTGGGTTTTTCTTTCTTTTTTGGTAGTTTTCAGTAGAGGCGATCCTTTAAAAGCTTGGAGAATTTTTGTTTTTGAGGATTGTCATGACTGTCAAGTGCAACATGCCTAAATTGTAAGCAATAGCATTCACTGATTTTCTATATTCATATTGTTTAATTACCTCTTTCACTTCCAGATCGATACTTCTCCTTTGCCTCATTATGCTGCTATCACTAGCACTGATTTTGCTATGTCTGGGACCCATGATGTATTTGACAGTAAGTAATTTTCAAAAGAAAATTAAACATGGAGATAATGCTATTAACACTTAAGACACGTGATACATGAGATTAGATGCTGCTGCCTATAAGTCAAAGTTATTCAGTAAACTTTTTAGATAGAAAGTACAGTACAATACATAGATAAGCCAGTAACAGAGGCATTTACTATGACTCACTAACTCACTGCCATTGAGTCAATCCCGACTCATAGCGACCCCTCCTTGGGTTTCTGAGTCAGTACCACTATGGAAGTGGATTGCCCAACCTTCCTTCCGAGGCCTGGCTGGTGGGTTTAACCCATCAGCCTTCTAGTTAGCAGTCAAATACGTTAGGCACTATGCCACCAGAGCTCCCTTATTATGACTGCCAAGACATATGTATTATAAGGTTATTTATGTACTGGCAGCGTAATTACTTTCTATACAAAAGACTTGAGATAAATATGTTGTGTATGGGAAGGTGTTATGTTTGCTATGTCCATCTCTAATCAGGATTTCTGAAGTCTATAACCTTGTGGGACCATGGAGGTATACGTAGTAGGACATTGCCTAAATAGATGTTATGCATCCCATGACTGTATATCCCACTTAAACTAATGCAGTAATTGTTAAAACAATGTGATAATGTCTGGAAAGTCATAACAAAAATCACAAATCTTATATAAATGTAAGACGTTATTACAATGACACAATTAAGAATAAACAACAAAATCAAACTAATTTTAAAAGCTAAACTACATTGTAAAAGGAGGCATATTCAGTACATGGGAATTAAGCCCCTTTTTAAAGTAAAATATTTGTTTTATTACCACTCTATTTGTTTACTGTGGAAAAAGGAAGCTGCTATGCTGAATTTTCCATATAGGAATATCACTTATCAAAACTATACTTTTGAGGTGGTGCTCTTAAAATTGTATTTTAGGAGATGGTATTCAAATTTATCAGTCTTTCCCTTTTGGCAGATTACTACATATTTAAAAACCTATATCTATTTTCTCAACTTAAAATAATCTCTAGGTTTCCTTTATTTTCAAATTACTCATTTATCCTTCCTTCTAAATGAGGAAAACACATACACACACACACACACACATTTATAAAATACATGATGACAATAGGTACAAAATTAGATCTTTTTCACTTAAATATGATTAAATTTTAATTTCTACTGAAAAATAATCAAATATGTGTAGTCAAGAAAATGAGAAAACATGTTAGTCCCAAAACATATGATAAAAATCATTCAGTATACATTTTCAAGTTAATTATATTGTCACATCTTGGTTAAAAACTCTAATAAAGCAAAGTAAGAGATGTTACTTTCAAGTTAGAAAACCCTTACCATCAGAGGGTGGGCACAATCCACAAAGAATGTTCATCAATGTACTCTTTCCTGTTCCACTGTGGCCAAGTAATGCAGTAATCTGACCCTCGTAGATGTCAAAGGACAAGTCTAGTTTAGGACAGAAGAAGAACCAAATATTTTTTCTGTTCAGATATATAGAATAATTCATAATACTTGAGCAATCTTGAAGACACTAAATCTTGAAGTCCTCAAGACAATCAATTTAAGGACTAATTTAAAACTATTCATCACATTTCATAGCAGTAAAAATGCTACCTTGTTACAGTCCAAATAGTGCAAGCAGTAAGGAAAGTAAGCAATAGCCTTTGTTACAGAACTCACAGCAACCCCCACTGGGTTTCTGAGACAGTAAAGGGTTTCTGAGACAGTAAATATTTACAGAAGTAGACCACCCAGTCTTGCTTCTGTGGAGTGGCTGGTGGGTTTGAACTGCCAACCTTCTGGTTAGCAATCAGATGCCTTAGCCACTGTGCTACCAGAGTTCCTTAAGATTTAGGAGGTACACAAAATATTTGGTGGCTTTCCCTATGCCCACTTTTGGGAATTTCCAAGGGAATCAAAACACATAAGGAAACAAAAATCTATCCTCAGTTATTGACATGAATGTTAAATACACTGATGAAAAACTAGAAATTTACCAATAGTCAAATTTAAAAATAAATAAAGCATCATGATACAGGCAGTCCCCAATTTATGACAGGGCTCTGTTACGACATTTTTATAAGTCAGTTCCGACGTTAAGTCAAATATGTCATTTTTTTCTTTTTGGGGGGGGTTTCATTATTGCCTTCTATTAACAGCATCTTTATAAATCATAACATTGAACTTTGCGAATAAACATCTGAGAATGATACCAGCAAATTACACGGTGCAACATTGTCAGCAGTACATATTACTAAGAATAAGATATATACCCCCCAACCAACAAAAGAAAACCAAAACCAGATGGTTTTAAATATAGTTCATTTTGACTCTAACATGCCATCAATCTGGGGCTATCTGTATATAGGTTATAAATCGTGGGATATCACAGCACACAGAGTTAGGAAGAAAAATTTCCATGAGCTATGCAGCAGACAGGTGCAACTACAATGTTTAATGGGTTAAGTATTTCTCTTTTGGAGGAGCCTGTCCTTTCCTTGGTGAGTATAGTGGTTTGAAACAGTTACTTCTTCAGCCCCACAAGCTTAGTGTCATTCAGAATGTAAAAGATGGTGTGTCCATCACACCCTTCCCCTCTGTACAGAACTGTCTCTTCCACATATGTTGCAAGGGCTACTGGATTTCTACATGCAAAAGAATGAAGCTAGAACCATACTTCACCCCATATACATAAAGTAACTCAAAATGGATCAAAGACCTAAACATAAGAGCTAAAGTCATAAAATCCTTAAAAGAAGAAACCACAGGAGGAAAAGTTCAAAACGTTTTTAGTTGTTACAACTTGGGAGCAGGCTGCTACTGGCACTGGATGGGTACAGGTCAGGGATGCTGCTAAGTATCCTAAATCTCAGGACAGTTTCCACAACAAAGAATGACCTCGCCCCAAATCTCAACAGTGCCTGTGCAAGGCTACACACACACACACACACACACACACACACACAGAGTAACACATACAAATACACAATAATTAAGAGAAAAAAGGCAGACTGTTCAAATAGCGGAATGTTTTTCATATAGAGTACTTTTTGCTTTTAGTACTTTCATATGCTACTGTTGATATTTTTACTATCAGTATTAATCACATGAGTTAATAAAAGTATTCCTAAGTGAGAGAATATTGTGGGAGGAATTTTAAATTTCTCATTGGTCTTGTACTTGTATTTTAATATTATAAAATGAGTCCTAGGAAAGCTACTTACTTCGCAAAGCCTCCACAGTTTCACTTTTCTTTCTGTATGTCTTCTGTATACCGCTGATTCTGAAAAAGTTTTCTACTTTTAAGTAATTAAAGCAATTTGTAAATGTATATGCTTATATGTGTAACATTTATATCAAAGCTATCACGCTTAATAATAAGTTACTTTCCTACTAAAACAGTGAACAAAAGAAAATTGACAATTGTAAAATTATTTTAAAGAAGTTATAAAAGAGAAGTATAGTATTCCTCTCCATTTTAAGTGTTATTCATTCATTTTTTATGGTAAGACAACTTCTAAAAAGAAAACAAAGTATTTGATTCTAGCAATTTGTAGATTTCATTTTTGATACTCTTCTGTTTGTAATTAATCAAACATTTATTGTATCAGTTGAGAAAAATATGAATTAAATACTATTTCATGTCACCACAACTGTCTACAAACATGAAATAATTCCCGCATCCTACTTTAGATATTTTTTACACAATTGTTTTAAAGAATTAATGACTCTACTAATTCAAATTTTACCCTTGGGAAGGCACCACTGGCCCACTGGTTACATTGGACACATTTTATTTCTCCCCTTGCTTCTATACATTTTCCTTAAATTTAAAGAACACTTTATAGACTTCTCTTTTTATTTTTATTTTTCGTCTTATTTTTTTCTTTTCTCTCTTATTATTATTATGAGATTTGGTGTTGACTGATCTAGCAAGGAATAATAATGAATTTCTTTGGTTTGTAAAAATTAAACGGAGATCTACTATTATACCCAAAGGGTCTACACAATTAACAAAGGACAATTTAATGTTGAGAAAAAGGAAGCATTAACAAAATTATATTCCATATTTAATCATTTCCAATCTACATAATGGAGAAAGCTTTAAATAGCTTAATTGTATAAACATTAGTTTTTATTACTTTAAAAAATTTCTATTAAAACATAATTTCAAACCTAGTAGTAACCTTAATTCTGAATGGTTGCAAAGAAAATAAAAATGTAAAAGAAAAGTAATCCATTATCAATACTGTGTTTTAAAAATCATGAAATGTCTACCAAATCTTCTAAGATATACACTTACATCTACTCATTAAAAGACAGAATTTGCATGTGATAGACCCACCAGCAGTGTTTATTCCTAACTTGCCAAGAAGCCCATCTTACCTTATGGCTTCTTTCCCTAGAAATTCTGAAGAAACAGGCTCAACAATTTCACTAAAACTAATACTCCCATTAACATTGCCTTCTGATAACTCTTTATAATTTCTTTTGTTCTTTGACCAATATGATGGCTTCAGAAAATATAAAGATGATCTCCGTAAGCCAAATTCACCTGAAAATTTAAAAACAAATGAAAAACTAAACAAACAAACAACAGAGTTATAACATAAACAACCATTCCTGAAAACTAGCTTTTAAATCACAGATAAAGGCAACATTTGAAACATATGACAATCTAAATCTAACATACAAATATGGATAAAGTACTAATATTCTGTGAAAATCCAAGTTTTATTGACAAATATATATGTCCCTGAATAGCTTCAGAGCTGCTGAGAGTTCATGGGAATCTGAAAGTGAGAAAGCACATTCTCTATCCTAAAAGAACTTAACAACTTACAGCTACCAAACAACGCAAGGCATACAGCTCCAGGCACAGCACCAATAGTTCAAAAAAGGAAAAGTTTCTGTCTGGCTAAGGGATATATCCTGAAGGCCTGGATGGGTACCATCACAGACAGCTGTTGGAAACTGGTAGTACTTAGAAAAGTGGATCTGGTTTCTGGGGAAGATGTTTCACAATTAAGAAAGCATCATGCCAACAGGAAAGAAGTCAGGGATTTGCGTGGATATGGTAGACAGTGATTGTTGCCAACACAGCATGTATCTATTTTACCCCTTCCACTCCCCCCCAAAAAAACCCTCTATACACTTCATAGGAGCTCTGGTGGCATAGTCCCTAAGGCATTTGACTGCTAACCAGAAGGCTGGAGGTTCAAACCCACCAGCCACTCCTCAGAAGGAAGACTGGGCAATCTACTTTTGCAGAGATACTGACTTGGAAACCCAAGAAGAGGTTGCTATGATCAGAATTGACTCATCAGCAGTGAGTTTGGTTTGGTTTACACCCTCCGTTAAGAAAAATATATCCACTGCTTTCAGATGGCCACAAGTTTCAAAGGGACCTGATACCAACCAAGAAGATTCGGCTGATCTAAGGCCAATCACTACTTGGCATTCCTCTAGTGAATGTTATTGCTCTCCTAGTAATCATGTAACCACTCAGAGTGAACCAAAAAGCTTAGCTAGGGCAGAGGTTCTCCCACCCTTTTCCTTTAGACATAAGCAAAGAAAACACCCTGGTCACTGCCTGCAACAAGAAGAGCAAACCCATCAGACGGAGACAAAGGTGGTAAAGCGCGGTGGATCCGAAGACATAACTGAGCTAAATCAGCCAACTCTGGAGCCCATACTCTCTTTGGACTTCCTTTTAAGTTAGTTAATTAATTTCCTTCCTGTTTAAGCCAATTAAAAAGGTTTTCTGTTATGAGTAGCTGAGAACAATCTGATACATTGGGATGTGTTTAAATGGGTAAATATGACTGTATGAATGGATACAAGGTACAATAAGAAGGGGGGATGTTAGTGAGAGATTATATATATGAAAGTACTATCGATACAAGAATTTCTACCTAATTCATAAGGATACAGTCAACAAGGTTTCTGAGAAACCTTGGTTAACTTGAGTGGTAAAGTGCTTTGACAGAATAGAGGTAGAAAAACTAGGTAAGAGGTATGGTAGTGGTCTAGATTAGCACTGCCCAACAGAACTTTAAGTGACGATAGGAATGTACTATATCTGTGCTGTCCAATGTGGTAGTTAACAACCATATAAATGTGGCTAAGAAGCAACTTAATTGTCGCTCTTGCTACTGAGGAAATGAACTGTTAATTTATCTAATTTACACTAATTAAAATTTTAAAAACCACATCTGGCTGCTGTTGTTGCTGTTAGGTGCCATCAAGTTGGTTCCAGCTCACAGCAAACCCATGTACAACAGAATACAACACTGCCCAGCCCTGCGTCACCCTCACAATCGGTGCCATGCTTGAGTCCACTGTCACAGCCACTATGTCAAACCGTCTCGTAAGGGTCTTCCTGTTTCGCTGACCCTCTACTTTACTGAGCAGAATATCCTTCTCCAGGGACTGGTCCCTTTTGAAACATTACCAAAGTATAAGAGATGAAGTCTTGCCATTCTCACTTCTACATTCCAGCTGGACTTCCTCCATGACGTATTTGTTTATTCTGCTGGCAGTCCATGGTATTCAAAATTCCACATCAACACCACAATTCAAATGCATTGATTCTTTTGTGGTCTTCCTTATTCATTGTCCAGCTCTCACATGCATATGAGGCTACTAAAAATACCATGGCTTGAGTCAGGTGCAACTTCATCTTCAAAGTAACATCTCTGCTCTTTAATACTTTAAAGAGGTCTTTTGAAGCAGATTAGTCCAATGCAATATACATCATTTGATTTCTTGACAGATGCTCCCATGGATGTTAACTATGGATCCAAGTAAAATGAAATCCTTGACAATTTCAATCTTTTCTCCATTTACCATGATGTTGTTTACTGGTCCTCTTCTGAGGATTTTTATGTTGAAGTGTAATCCACACTAAAGGCTGTAGTCTTTGATCTGTTTCAGTAAATGGTTCAAGTCTTCTTCACTTTCAGCAAGCAAGATTGTGTCATCTGCATATCATAGATTGTTAATAAGACTTCCTCCAATCCTAATGCCACATTCTTCTTCATATAGTCTAGCTTCTCGCATTAGCTGTTCAGCATAGAGACTGAGTAAGTATGGTGAAAGGATACAATCCTGACACATACCTTTCCTGATTTTAAGCCCTGGAGTAATCCCCTTGTTCTGTTTGAATGACTGGCTCTTGGTCTACATACAGGTTCCTCATGAGCACAATTAAGTGTTCTGGAATTCCCATTCTTCACAATGTTATCCATAATTTGTTGTGATCCAAACAGTCAAAGGCCTTTGCATAGTCAGTAAAACCCAGTTTAACCCCTTTCTAGTATTTTTTGCTTTCATCCAAGATCCATCTGACATCAGCAATGATATCCCTCATTCCATGTCCTCTTCTGAATCTGGCTAAAATTTCTGGCAGTTCCCTGTTTATGTATTGCTGTAACAATTTTTGAATTATCTTCAGCAAAATTTTACTTGTGTGTGATATTAATATTATTTGCTAATTTCCACATTCTATCAATCACCTTTCTTGGGAATGGGCCCAAATATGGATCTCTTCCAGTTGGTTGACCAGGTAGCTGTCTTCCAAATTTCTTGGCATAAAAGAGTGAGTGTGTCCAGCACTGCATCTGTTTGTTGAAACATCTCAATGAGTATTCCATCATTCCCAAGGCCTTATTTTTCACCAATTCTTTCAGTACAGCTTGGACTTTTCCTTCAATACCTTGGTTCTTGATCAAATGGACCTCCTGAAATGGTGGAATGCTGACTAATTCATTTTGGTCTTCTTCTAATACAACCAAAACTAAACCAATCCTACTGCCATCAAGTCACTTCTGACTCATAGTGACCCTATAGGACAAAGGAAAACTGCCCCACAGACTTTCTGCAGCTGTAATCTTTGCAGAAGCAGACTGCTTCATCTTTTTCCTACAGAGTGACTGGTAGGTTCAAACTGCCAACCTTTTGGTTAACAGCCAAATACCTTAATCATTGCACTACTAGAGCTCCTCTTCTGATATAGTCAACTACCAATGTTTCACTGTTACACATAAGGCTTTCAGTGACTAATTTTTCCAGAAGTGGACCTGGTCATGTCCTTCTTCCTAGTCTGTCTTAGTGTGGAAGCTCTGCTGAACCTGTCCACCATGGTGACCCTGCGGATATACGAAATACTTGTGGCAGAGCTTCTAGCACCATAGCAACACACAAACTGACAGACAAGTGGCTAGTAGTTACCAAATAAAACAATGCAGGTCTACAATACAGACAAACATAATGAGAAACTCAAGGGGAGAGGGCTATTCGATATTTAATATTACTACATCTGTAGGAGTTAGAAGGAACCCTGGTGGCACAGTGATTAAACTACTTGGCTACTAACCAAAAGGTTAGCAGTTCGAACTCACCAGTCACTCTGTGGGAGACAGATGTGGCAGGATGCTTCCATAAAGATTTATCGCTTTGGAAACACTATGGGGTAAGTTCTACTCTAGTCTACGTGGTCACTATGAGTTGGGATCAACTCAATGGCTGTGGGTTTGGCTTGGTTTGGTTATTTGGTATAGAAGTTGGTTATAGACACTTGATAGAAGAAAAGAGGAATGGTAAGAGTTACAAGATTACTTCATAGTTTTAGGCCTTCGTAGGCAGAAAACGAAATACTTCAGTTAAGAAAGGTTGACATAGAGAATGACTGAGTTCAGTTTGGAACTTAAGACTTTCAAAACAAACTGCTCTCTTTTTATACAATCTCTTTCTATTCAGCAGTGGTTAAGGAACAAGATATAAAAGATAGTTAAAATTAAAAGCCTTAACAGTGAGTATTACTTAGGTAGGGTACTCTGGTTAGAAAAATAAGTAAGTAGACCCTATGGGGGCAAAAAAACTGAACAGTTTTAACACAAAATCCAATAATCACCTGCATACCTGGAATGACTTGATCAAGGTAGACAGCCAACAGGATGTAAAATATACTATTAAGTGCTAGCATGATAAGAGTAATAATTAGAGGATATGGGCCTTCAGTCAAATTAGAAAATAAAGCACCTTCATTAAAATCTTCTAAATGCATAACCTAAAAAATAGAAACACCAGCTTTATTACATGAAAATAATAAAAACAAGCAAAAGCCTACAATACTTAAACTCAGAATTATTCTTATTTCCAAAATGATAGTAAGCAAACACTGTCTTTTAATAGATGAAACAATCTACCAAATTTGCAATATAAATTTACGAAGAAAACTAAATAGTTTACTAAAATACAGGTTTATCACAACAATTACTTTCAATCATATTTTAAATGCTGTGCTTTTTAAACTAGAATACCTCCAATCCTAATGCTACGACCACCAAACATAACAAAAATGAAGTATAATGTCAACATGAACTAATGCAAACAAAAAGGTTACAGTCCACACAGAAGTCAAACAAATTAAGTATTAGAGGATAAAATTAAGGTCAGCATTCTTCCAATACTGAAATGGGAGAAGGTACTTATAAATGGATATAAAGTACGCTTTAGTATTCAAGTATCATTTCATTCTCATGCTGAAATTTTAAAACCTTTTCTTTTTTTTACAAAAAAAAAAAAGTACATAAGATGCTACATATATGAGATCTAGTGGCACAACAATTAAGCACTAGGCATCCAACCAAAAGGTTGGCAGTTCGAACCCATTGAGAGACTATATGGCAGAAAGACTAGGCAATCTGCTTCCACAGAGATTACAGCCAAGCAAAACCTAGGGAGCAGTTCTATTCTGTCACGTGGGGTCACCATGAGTCAGAATTGACTCAATGTCACCCAACAACAACATGCTACATGGAAGTGGAGATAAAAGAAAATATTTAGGTAAGCAAGATAAATATATTACCTACCTGTGCAATACCAATCAAAAAAGTACACTGACAGAAAGGAGTGAGAAGCCACACCAATGATCTGGGAAAACCTTCCATGAGGACTATCAATAAACCAATAAATCCAAAAGCCACAGTGACTAAAAATTCAACTATTCCCACATGTTTTGATTTTTTAAAAAGAGGAGTCAGCATTAAAGCAAAAAATACCTGTAAGATATAAATACTAAGATTAATGTATTGTTCATAAACACTGGTATGAAAATAAAAATTAAACTTGCTTATGAGAACAGCTATTTCTGCTGGAAAATATATTCATTAAAAAATAATTTCTAATGCTATAGTTGAATGGGAGCTCTGGTAGCATAGTGCCTAAGACACCTGGCTGCTAATGAGAAGGCTGGCAGTTCAAACCCACTAGCCACTCCTCGGAAGGAAAGTTGGGCAATCTATTTTGGTAGTGATACTGCCTTGGAAACCCAAGGAGGGGTCACTCTGAGTCGGGGCCGACTCGATGGCACACAACAACAACAACATAGTTAAATATTTTATTCTTATATATATTATATATATTCCTATATATATATTAAAAAAAATTTAAACTAACAAATATTAAAAACTGCATTTTATCTACATAGTAGGTAAATATGATAACTCTACACTAGAAAAACCATAAAGAGCTATGTTTTTGCAGTTAGATATATACAGGTGAATAAAACAATAAATCAACAAGTTTTTAAATACAGAATTTACCTTTTAATTTTAATGTGCTAATAAGATATATAACCAGTTAAAAACTAGGCAATTATACGTATAAGTATATGCATTTTTTTTAACATATCATTTAAAAAATATGTAAAACAGCTAGTCACAGCCTAAGCACAGAAACCAATCAGAATGTAAGCTGACACTACTTAAAACAAAGGCTGGTCACTAGCAGTCAGCATTTGGCCAGTATGCCAGAAGAGTAACAATGCTACTGGTAAGTTATATTTAAAATGACATGCCTTAAGCACCATTATCTTATAAATTATATTGAAACACTCAGGATTTCATGAAAATAAAGGAAAAATTTCCATATGGGCCAATCTTCATTACAGACATGAATACACGAAGATAGTAAAAGATTCAAAGGAATCTGAATGCGAAATACAGCATATGAAACTAAGTTAAATTTAAACTTGAGGCCATTTTGTACTTGCCCTAAAGTTATGTAGGCACAATGATGCTATCTATATATAAGACACTTACGAGTAACAGTGACAATCTGTTCTTTATGGGGAAAAAACCGTACACATACCAAAAGAAGAAAAAGTTTTGCTATATTAATACAATTATATTCAGTTCTTTATTCCCATTTCAAATTCAAATACTTACAGATGAAAGTCCATACAGGAAAAAAAGTAGAAATATCACAAAGCAGCCACTTTGAGGGAATAAGGAAGAGGCTGTTGCAATGACTGCCATAAGAAGAGACATAAGAAAAATCAAACTTGTATACAGAAGAACCCAGGAAAGCCTACAATGAGAATACAAGTGTATTTATAGTCAAAATGCGTAAGCATTCACAGCTAAAAAGCATTTTAAAAAATAAAACCAGCTTTCTGTTATCCATTTTATTTTAAAACAAATTTATTTATCTGTATATGTACTGAAGGGAGCACTAGTGGCATAGTGCCTAAGGCATTTGACTGCTAATCAGAAGGCTGGCAGTTCAAACCCAATAGCCACTCCTCAGAAGGAAGATTGGGCAATCTACTTCTGTAGAGATATGGCCTCGGAAACCCAAGGAGGGGTTGCTGTGAGTCGGATCCAGCTCGATGGCAGTGAGAGAGAGAGAGATGTATTAAAAATTCATACTCTTCATAGGTAATTGAAAATGCACTATTGGTTAAGTTATAAGTAAAAGTGTAATCTGATATGGAAATAAAATGGTGATTATCTTTCAAAGAGTCAAATAAAATGTTAAAAATTAACAGTTAATGATTAATGTAAAACTAGTATTCTTAAAGTTCCATAATGTACAACCCCACTGATTTTATTTAAATACAAAAGAATTTAATGAACCCATGTAACAATTTTCTTTAGGGCATGAGCTACAATTAGACCTCTCATGGCTTTTGTTTGCTGCAAACAATATAGATTATCTAATTAATCAGCAACATGATTACTACCTTTACACATCAATAATGTACTAGTCATAATTTACTCGAGTTTCTCTTCCAGTCAGAGCTCAGTGGAATTGCTACAGTACAGGTAACCTCTGCTTTTCTAAAGTTCACTTTACACCCCTTTGCTTTTACAAAAGACTGTCACTAGTATCTGTTTTTATTAACCGAAAGAAGCCCGAAGATTTTTGCTTCCATGAAATGAGATTGATTTGTCTAAAATCATCCAGCTAAATTATTCACAAAATATTTCAATAACATAATGCATCTTAAAAACCAATCACTTCTAAAATGACAGGAAAAGAAAAAGAGCAGAGACTATGTTGTATGATGATTCTATTACCTGAAGTGTTAAAAGTAACTGTTACATTGGGCTAAGCAAATAAAATTTTGAAAAACAGACTATGGTTGGTGCAAACAAATGCACCTGACTGCTAAATGAAAGGCTGGTTTGAGTCCACATAGAGGCACGTTGGAAGAAAGGCCTGGCTATCTACTTCCCAGAAACCAACCACTGAAAACTCCATGGAACACAACTCTACTTTGACATAATCAGGGTTGCCAGGAGTCAGGAGCAACTGGGCAGTTAGCAACTGTTCTGTTTTTTGTTTAACTTGTGTGTTAAATCAGGCCCAGTAATTGCAGAAGCTTGTTGGCTAGTCTTTAAATTCCAAGACAAAGGCAATAATGGTGAGAAAATAGGATCACCACTACATCAAGTCAGGTAAATAGCAAAATTACAATTTCAAAGATTTTTATGATAGTTAACACAATTGTTAATCACATTAAATAATAAACATTTAATAACATACCAAAAGGCGGTATCATGAAGTCCCATTATCTTTAAAAATTCTTTTAATCTCTTCTCTTTTTCTGCTACAATATGAATTGCCAGAAAGTACCCAAAAGGTGAAAATGCTATAACTAGGTATATTAAAATCACTCCTCGGGGAAAGAGGTCTATCTCTACAACAGGAGCTTCTCCCATAATAATGGCTTTAGTGGACTCCAGCTCCTTCCAAACAGAAACACTGGTCTCCAACTGCAATAGAAAATGTAAACACATTTAACTAATTTAGTTCTGATAGCAGCCCTTAATAAAATGTGAGGCTTATACTCCAGTATTTAGTCAATAACCTAGTACAGATATAATCCTCAAAAAGCTATGAACCTGAAATAAAGTGACTAACCCCAATTTCATGATACAGAGCAAAACTGTTGTTGAAAGAAGAACTATTGTTGTTGAAGAAAACCAAAGATGCATGGAAACAATTAGTCCAAGGGACTGGTATACCATGAGATCCTCAGGCTACATGACTATGAAACCAGAACTAGATAGTGCTCAGCTACCACTGTCAACCATTGGGGATCCCTGTAGGAGATCCTGGATAGAGTAGAAGAACAATGTGGAACAAAACTCAAAATCATTAAAAAAAAAAGGGACCATGTTTACTGGTCTGATGGAGCCTGATGAAACCACTGAGACTATGGCCCCTAGCTGCCCTTCAGGTCTGGAACTGAACCCACTCTTATGGATTCCAGCCAAACAAAAGACAGGTATATGAGCTGCACATTTACATTAGGTAAATACACTCCTTGGAGAGATCAATCATGGGAGAATAGAAGGGCTGTGTATGCACAGGGAGACAGCTGGCGGGGGGGCAGGAGTGCATGGGAAGGAAGGACACAGGGAAGAGGTAACTATGGGGAGGAAATGGGAGGGAAGCTTTTGCATTGTGGGAAATTGCAGTCAATGTTATGAGACAGTATATGTGAACTGCTGTATGGAAGATGAATTTGCTCTGTAAACTTTCACCCAATCACAATAAAAATTAAAAAATAAAAAAAAGTAGGTGAGACAAGTTCTGGCCCTTCTTACTTCTAAGGAGCATTCTGGCCGCACTTCTTCCAGGACAGATTTGTTCATTCTTCTGGTAGTCCACGGTATTTTCAATATTCTTCACCAACACCATAATTCAAAGGCACTAACTCTTATTTGGTCCATCTTCTTATTGATTATCCAGCTCTCACACCCATTTAAGGCAACTGAAAACACCATGGCTTGGGTCAGGAACACTTTAGTCTTCAAAGTGCTATCTTTGCTCTTCTACACGTCAAAGAAGCCTTTGCAGATTCACCCAGTGCAATATGACGTCTGATTTCCTGACTGTTGTTGCTTCTGTGTGTGCTGACTGTGGATCTAAGTAAAATGAAATATGTGACAACTTCAATCTTTTCCCCATTTATCATGATGCTGCTTATTGGTCGGTCCAGTTGTGAGAATTTTCATTTTCTTTATGTTGAAGTGTAATCCATACTGAAGGTTGTAGTTTTTTATCTTCATCATTAAGTGCTTCAAGACTTCTTAATTTCAGCAAGCAAGGTTGTACCATCTGCATATCACAGGTTGTTAATGGGTCTTCTGCCAATCCTGATGCTGTGTTCTTCTTCATATAGTCCTGCTTCTTGGATTATTTGCTCAGCATACAGACTGAATAAATACAGTGAAAGATTATAACCCTGATGCATATCTTTCCTGATTTTAAACCATGCAGTAACCCTTTGTTCTATTTGAATGACAGCCTGGTCTATGTATAGGTTCTTCATGAGCACAATTAAATGTTCTAGAGTTCCCATTCTTCACAATGCTATGTTCTAGAGTTCCCATTCTTCACAATGCTATCCATAATTTGTTATGATCCACACAGTCTAATGCCTTTGCAGAGTAAAATATTGCTTTTAATTCATCCTGTAGGCATGTGAGAAACTCTAAAGTTTGAAGTTGGGACATATACAAACCTTGATAAAATAATTTGTTTAAAAATTTGTGCAATTATCATCTTAAGCAATTATATTCATCTTAACAAAAATATACACCGACGAAATTGAGGCATTAATGAATGATTATCAATACCATGAAAGAACGATTCTGTTCAATAAATGTTTTTTAAGTAGTCTGCACTTTTATTGTTTTAAAAATCTATAGATGCAGCACCTAGACAGCATACTAAAACTATGTCATGTGACACTTCTAAGATATAACTGAATACCTAAAATGGCATCCACCCTGCCTACCACCCAATGCATGGATCTGCACTGTAGATGGCTGAGGTTTCTTGCCATCACACAGATTAAACACTCTAATACATTTCACTGTCTTTACCTTAAACTCCTATACCAGTTAACTTGTGTAATGTCTATCTCTAATGCATCTCTACCACGTTGTAAAAGCTTATGAGACAATTCTACATACACATTTGATTCTTACAGCTATCCTGTAAAGTATTACTATAGTCATTTTACTACACAGCAATTAAATAAACTGTCCAAATCCACACAACTGGCAACTAACAGAGATGGGACTCTTGCTTATGTCTTGATTCTAGCTCTATCTCTATTCATGAATATAGTAAACGGAGTTTAGTAGAGGAAACTGTTTACATATATAATCTAAATTATGCTACCTGTTGGCATAATAAATTTCAATTAGATAAAAAAAGAAAAAAAGAAGCAACAGATTTATATGAGACATTGAGGAATGAATGAAGTGTGATTAATTTGAATACTTTGAACCCTAGCCCAAATACAAAATTAATGTTTTTAAAATAAATATTATGGTTAATTTTTTCTGCTAAAATGTGAAAAGCTGGATCAAGTCTAAGCATGTCTTTAGAATCCAATTGTGGTATTTATCCACAATCATAGAGACATCAAAATATAGTTTTGAAGATACTTATTTAGGAGACAAAAAAGCTGTAGTTCAAATCCCGGATTTGCCACTACTTAACTTAATTTTCCTTATTCTGAATTAGAAAGACTAATGAAGAATTGATGGCTTTGAAGTATGGTACTGGTGAAGAATACTGAATATAAACTGTCAGAAGAATGAATAAATATGTCTTGGAAGAAGTATAGCTAGAATGCTCCTAAGAAGGAAGGATAGGGAGACCTTGTCTCATGTACCCCGGACATGTTATCAGAAGGGATCAGAAGGAAATCACAGTTGGTAAAGTAGAGGGTCAGTGAAAAAACAGAAAGACACTCATTGAGATGGACTGACACAGCGGCTGTAACAAAGGACTCAAACAAAGCAATGATTGTGAGGATGGTGCAGGACCAGGTAGTGTTTCGTTCTGTTGTACATGGAGTCACTATGAGCCAGAACTGACTCAACAGCACCTAACAACAACAACTTAGTTTGGAAGCTACATAATCTCTGTATTTCAGTTTCAAATATGAAATGGACATAATAACACTGCCTATTTTATAGGGTTTTTAAGGATTATATGGGTTAATATTCATACGTAACTAACAAACAGTGTTTGGCAAGTAAGTATTAAATGATTTTACTACTATGATTAAGGGAGCTCTGGTGGCGTAGTGCCTAAGGCACTTGACTGCTAACCAGAAGGCTGATGGTTCAAACCCACCAGCCACTCCTTGGAAGGAAGACTGGGCGATCTACTTCCATAGAGATACTGCCTCAGAAACCCAAGGAGTGGTCGCTGTGAGTCAGAGACAACTCAACAGCACATAACAACAACGATTAAGATAATGAAGATTTCACATACTTTTAAATATGTAATTTATATGCCAGGGGAAAAGTCTGCAAATATAGATCTTTCATGAATATTACTTACAGTCCATACAATATAGTAACTCAGATGTATAAATGCTGGATCATATGTAGTCTTAGAAATCATCAAGTAGAGCAGGTTTTAAAAGAGTATTAAATCATAAAACATGACTTATTCATTTTTTTTAAGTTGTACTAATTTAGGTAGTTTGTATATGTGCTATTAGTCAAACCAAGTTCTACTTGAAAAAAGTAGGCTGTCATTATTAACAGATGCTTTAGCTTTGTTTTCCTTTATCATATTTACCTCTATAATGGCAGCATCTATGGATGCTTGTAAAGCTGTGAACCCTGAGGACCAGTACTGAGCAGCCTCACATGATTTTGAACAGCCAGCTATAGGAAGAAAATTGTGAGACAGAAGGTTTTACACATCATGTAAGTACTTTCCTTTAAAAATAACATACAGATGGTTACTAAAGTAATATAACTAATCAATCCCCACAGGAACATTGAAAATGAACCACTATCTTTTTAAAGTAAACAGTATTTATCACATTCCTGATTGCTTATTTAAGAATTTGAAATAAAGACGTTTCATGTGTTAGGATACTGAAAGGCACTGGCAAATGCAAAGTCCCTTTTCTGTTTAAAGGTAAGTCACACTACAAAATTCTTCCAGATGCAAGAACAAGCCTATCTTAAGAGAATGGAAAATGTTTTCCATAAAAAATAAAGGCTTTCTTGAATCAAGTCACAAATTCAATACTTAGCAGACTGATTTTGACATTACTCAATAAATGTTTGTGGTTGATGACAGTTTCTCGTCATAGATATTATGAAGCATTGAAGGCTGTTTTCTGTATTTCAAATGCAAAACTAATAAAGTTCAATGGTGGAAAACTTAATGATTTTAAAGATTTATATAGTCTATGGACAAATCTGTACCATATCATATGTGAAAACAATTACATGGAGAAAAAAAATGTAGATTTAGAAAATCATATAATTAAAGATAAAATTTTGCTTTGTTACTATAACCTGTACGGAATGTATAAATGTTATTTATACAGATAGATATAGATAGCTAGGTATTTATTGTTACATTTGGACCCAAACAAGTAGATAGAGCTGCAAATGCCAATGTTGAACCTCATCAAATTCTGCATTAGAATTCAGACAGCAAAACATGCATCTGAGATGGGTGAACAAGCTAAACAATTAGGTATGTCTAAATGGAGAGTGTATCCAAGATCATATACAGGGTTGGCAGACAATGGGCCTATAAGTTC